CAGATGAATGTTATATGCACTGGGGCTCGTGCTCAGGCTCTGGTTTCCATTGAGGAGAGCTCAGCTGAGCAGAATATAAATCCCTTCTGATAAAAAGAGAGAGAAAATTTACCAAGTCAAACCTGGGTTTGACATCTTAGGCATGCCCTTAACCCTGGAGAACTGACCAGAGCTCTCTGGCCACAACCATTACAAGCCCCTAGAGATTCCACTTATCTATTGAGTAATAGTACAATGATAAAAGCTGCACAACAACAAAAAAGAACCAACCAACCATTATCTCCACAAATGCCCAACAACAAACACATCAATCCAAGAAACAAGAATAAAGAAGGCAACACGACACACCCAAAAGAACCCAACACTTCAATTCTAGATTGTGAAGATGAGATAGAGGAAATGCAAGAAATGGGCTGGCGCCGTGGCTCACAAGGCTAATTTTCTGCCTGCGGCGATGGCACCCCAGGTTGTAGTCCCCATTGGGGCACTGGATTCTGTCCCGGTTGCTCCTCTTCCAGTCCAGCTCTCTGCTGTGGCCTGGGAAAGAAGTGGAGGATGGGCCAAGTTCTTGGGCCCTGCATCCGTACGGGAGACCAGGAGGAAGCACCTGGCTCCTGGCTTCAGATCGGCACAGCACGCCGGCCTTAGCAGCCATATGGGGGGGTGAACCAATGGAAGGAAGACCTTTCTCTCTGTCTCTCTCTCTCTCACTAACTCTTCCGTCCAAAAAAAAAGAAATGCAAGAAATAGAACTCAAAAATTGATCATAATATTACATAAAAGTAATCAAAAGTGAACACTTACCCTGTGCCCATGAAATCTGCAGGACATGAAAGAAAATTTCTCTGTGAAATTGAGATTTTAAAGAGGAATCAAAATGAAATGAAGAATTTCAGAGAACAAATAAAAAATGCAGTGAAGAGCCTTAAAAACAAAATCAGTGAAGCAGAGGAGAGAATATCGGACTTAGAAGACAAAACACAGGGAAGTATACAGTCAAACCGAAGACAAGAGGAGATTAGAAAACTCAAAAACACTGTTGGGAATCTACAGAATACTCTAAAAATACACAAGATATGGGTTCTAGGAGTTCCTGAAGGCATGGAGAAAGAGAGGATTAGAAGGCATTTTTAATGAATAATGGAGAAAGAAAAGTACAGCCAATTACAGGAAGCACACAGAACTCCTAATAGACATGACAAGAAAAGATACTCCCCATGACACATTTGTAATCAAACTCACCACAGAGAAACATAAAGAGAAGATTCTAAAACATACACAGGAGAAACACTAGATTACTTTCAGAGGATCTCCAACTGGACTCACAGCAGACTTCTCATCAGAAACCATACAGGCTAGGAGAGAATAGTGAGATATAGTTGAAGTCTTAAGAGAAAAAAAAAAAAAAACTGTTACCCCAGAATATTATACCTTGCAAAGCTCTCATTTGTGAATGAACGTGAAATAAAGGCATTCCATAACAAACAGAAATTGAAAGAATTTGTCACCATCCATCCAGCCCTGCAAAAGATACTTAAGGAGTGTTGCACACAGAAACACAGAAATATGATCAGCAGTACAAAAGAAGGTAATGGAAGGAAATCTCTCAGTAAAGATCAAAGGAAGTTTAAAGACTAAATTAGGAATATTTTTTGGATAAATGGCAAGGCAAAGTCATTACTTATCAATAGTCACATTGAATGTAAATGGCCTTGGGGCCAGTGCTGTGGTGCAGCAGTCTAAAGCCCTGTTCTGAAACACCAGCATCTTATATGGGTGCCAGTTCTAGTCCCGGCTGCTCCTCTTTTGATTCAGCTCTCTTCTGTGGCCTGGAAAAGCAGTAGAAGATGGCCCAGGTCCTTGGGCCTCTGCACCCACATGGGAGACCTGGAAGAGGCTCCTGGATCCTGGCTTCAGGTTGGCACAGCTCCGGACATTAGGCCATCTGGGGAGTGAACCAGCGGATGGAAGACCTTTCTCTCTGACTATACCTCTCTCTGTAACTCTCTATTTCAAATAAATAAAATAAATCTTAAAAAATGTAAATGGCCTCAACTCCCCAGTTAAAAGCCATTGACTGGATGAATGGGGTAAAAAACAAAACTCATATATTTGCTGCCTACAAGAAACACAACTCACCAACTATGATACATGCAGGCTGAAAGTAAAAGGTTGGAAAAAGATATTCCATGCCAAAAGAAACAAAAAAGAGCTGGTGTAACCATCTTAATATAAGACAAAAGAGACTTCAACACAAAAACTGTTAAAAGAGATGGAGAAGGGCACTACATAATGATTAAGGGATCAATTTAATAGGAAGATGTAACTATTATAAATGTATATGCACCTAATTACAGGGCACTGGGCTATTTAAAATAAATGTTAGGGGATTTAAAGGGAAACATAGACTCAAATACCATAGTAATGAGGGCCTACAATACTCCACTTTCAGCTATGGACAGATCGACCAGACAGAAAATCAACCAGGAAACAGCAGAGTTAATAGACACTATAGACCAAATGGATCTAACAAATATCTGCAGAAGAACTTTTCATCCTATACTTGAAGTATACATGTTCTTCTAAGCAGTGCATGGGACTTTCTCTGGGACTGACCACATACTAGGCCATAAAGCAAGTCTCAGCAAGTTCAAAAAAAAAATAAAAATCATACCAAGCATCTTCTCAGACCACAACAGAATGAAGCTGGGAATCAGCAACTTAGGAATCTCTAGAGCATATGCAAACACATGGAGACTGAACAACATGCTTATGAATGAACAGTGGATCATAGAAGAAATCAAAAGTGAAAACAAAAACTTTCTGGAAACAAACGAATGTGACAATACAACATATGAAAACATATGGGATGCAGCAAAAGCTGTGTAAAGAGGAAAGGTTATACCAATAGGTGCCTACATAAACACATTGGAAAGGCAGCAAATAAATGAGCTATCAATGCATCTCAAGGATCTAGAAAAGAAAACAGCAAACCAAACCCAAAGCTAGTAGGAGAAAAGAAATAATTGAAATTAAAGAATAAATAAACAAAATTTAATCAAAAAATTTACAAAAGATCAGTAAAATGAAGAGCTGATTTTTTGAAAAAAAAATTGACACCCCCATTGGCCCAACTAACAAAAAAAGGAGTGAGAGCATCCAAATCAATAAAATCAGAAATGAAAAAGAGAATGTAACAGCAGACACCACAGAAATAAAAAGAGTCATCAGAAATTACTACAAAGAGTTGTATGCCAACAAACTGGGAAATCTAACAGAAATGGATAGATTCCTGGACACATATAACCTACCTAAATTGAACCATGAAGACACAAAAGAACTAAACAGACCCATAACCAAGTCAGAAATTGAGCCAGTAATAAAGGCCCTCCCGACAAAGAAAAGCCCAGGACCAGATGGATTCACTCCTGAATTCCACCAGACATTTAAAGAAGAACTAACTCCAATTCTTCTCAAACTATTCAAAACAATTGAAAGAGAGGGGATACTCTCAAATTCTTTCTACAAAGTCAGCATGAACTTTATTCCTAAAACTGAAAAAGATGCAGCAGAGAAAGCGAATTACAGACCATTTTCTCTGATGAACACTGATGCAAAAATACTCAACAAAATTTTAGCCAATAGACTCCCACAACACATCAGAAAAATCAGCCACATAGTCCAAGTGGGATTTATCCCTGGTATGCAGGGATGGTTTCACATTCACAAATCAATCAATGTGATATATCACATTCACAAACCGCTGAAGAAAAATTATTGATTATATTAATCGATGCAGAGAAAGCATTTGATAAAGTAAAATACTCTTTCATGACAAAAACTCTAAGCAAACTGGGAAAAGCAGGAACATTCCTCAACACAATCAAGGCAATTTATGGCAAATCCAAGGTCAGCATAATATTGAATGGGGAAAAATTGGAAGCATTCCTGCTGAGATCTTGTGCCAGATAGGGTGCCCAGTCTCACCATTGCTATTCCATATATTATTGGAAGTTCTAGCCAGAGCCATTAGGCCAGATAAATAAATCAAAGGGACACAAATTGGGAAGGAAGAAGTCAAACTATTTGTATTTGCAGATGACATGGTTCTTTATATAGGGGATTCAAAGAGCTGCACTAAGTGACTATTGGAACTCATGGAAGAGTTTGGTAAAGGAGCAGGATATAAAATCAGTACACAAAAATCAACAGCTTTTGTATACACAGACAATGCCACAGTCAACAAAGAACTTCTAAGATCAATCCTATTCACAATAGCTACAAAATTAATCAGACACCTTGGAATAAGCTTACAAGTATGTCAAATATCTATATAATGAGAATTACAAAATAAAAAAAGAAATAGAAGAAGATTAAAAAACCAGAAAAATCTTCCGTGTTCATGGATTGGAAGAATTAGTACCATCAAAATGTCCATTCTTCTAAAAGTAATTTTCAGATTCAATATGATACGAATCAAAATATCAAATTATTTTTCACTTTATGTTTCTGTGTGGGAGCAAACTGTTGAAATCCTTACTTAATGTATACTAAGCTGATCTTCTGTATATTAAGATAATCGAAAATGAATCTTGATGTGAATGGAAGGGGAGAGGGAGTGGGAAAGGGGAGGGTTGTGGGTTGGAAGGACGGTATTGGGGGGAAGGCATTGTAATCCATAAGTCGTACTTTGGAAATTTATATTCATTAAAAAAAAGTTAAAAAATATCAAAGGCATTCTTCTAAGTTATAGAAAAAATGATGCTGAAATTCATATGGAGGCACAGGAGACCTCGAATAGCTAAAGCAATTTTATACAAGAAAAGCAAAGCTGGAGATATCACAACACCAGATTTCAAGACACACTACAGGGCAACTATAATGATAACAGCCTGGTACTGAATCACATAGTGAAAATCCCCTAACAGGGTAGATCCTATGTTAAGTGGCCTTTTTATAGATAGCAATAAAAATAATAATAAATCACAAAGGTGGACTGAGCTCCCGGAAATGATGGACATATTTATGTCAATGACTGTGGTGTTGTGTTCATGGGTATGTGTTTCTTTAGAGGTTTGTCAAGTTGTGATCCCTCTATGGGTATAGCTTTCTGTCTGTATACTCCATTTTAATGTGTCACTTGAAGAAATGTAATAGATTAAAAGGTAGAAAGCTTTGTCATGTCAAATATTCCTTGGGGTCAGTTTTGTGACGCAGCTAGTAAAGCTGAGAAGTTTCTGTACTGCGAAAGAAACAGTCAGGAAAGTGAAGAGGCAACCGACAGAATGGGAAAAATATTTGCATACTATGCAACAGATAAAGGGTTGATAACCAGAATCTACGAATAAATCAAGAAACTCCACAACATCAAAACAAACAACCCACTTAAGAGATGGTCCAGGACCTCAATAGACACTTTTCAAAAGAGGAAATCCAAAAGGCCAACAGACACATGAAGAAATGTTCAGGGTCACCAGCAATCAGGGAAATGCAAATCAAAAAAGGGACACTAACCCACTGTTGGTGGGAATGCAAACTGGTTAAGCCACTATGGAAGTCAGTCTGGAGATTCCTCAGAAACCTGAATAGAACCCTACCATACAACCCAGAAATCTCACTCCTTGGAATTTACCCAAAGGAAATTAAATTGGCAAACAAAAAAGCAGTCTGCACCTCAATGTTTATTGCAGCTCAATTCACAATAGCTAAAACCTGGAACCAACCCAAATGCCCATCAACAATAGACAGGATAAAGAAATTATGGGACATGCACTCTATAGAATACTATACAGCAGTCAAAAACAATGAAACCCATTCATTTGCAACAAGATGGAGGAATCTGGAACACATCATGCTGAGTGAAATAAGCCAGTGCCAAAGGGACAAATATCATATGTTCTCCCTTATCACTGACAACTGAGCCCCAAAGGGGAAACTTGTTGAAGTGAAATGGACACTATGAGAAACAGTGACTTGATCAGCTCTTGTCCTGATGGTTGATGTGCAATGTAATACTTTATCCATTTTAGTTTTTTTTTTGTTGTTCTAGCACAATTGGTTGAACTCTGTAATTAACACACAATTATTCTTAGGTGTTTAAATTTTAACTGAAAAGTGATCCCTCTTAGGAATCTGGAAAACATTATGCTGGGTGAAATAAGCCAGTCCAAAAGGGACAAATATCGTATGTTCTCCCTGATCAGTAACAACTAACTGAGCACCAAAAAGGAAACCTGTTGAAGTGAAATTAACACTGTGAGAAATGGTGACTTGATCAGCCCATGCCCTGACTGTTGAACAACTTAATACGTTATCCCTTTTAGTATTTTTTTTGTTTGTTCTACTTAATACTTTTGGTTGAATACTGTAATCAATACAGTTATTCTTAAGTGTTGAAACTTAACTGAAAAGTGATCCCTGCTAAATATAAGAGTGGGAATAAGAGAGGGAAGAGATGTGCAATTTGGGACATGCTCAAGCTGACTTGCCCCAAACAGTAGAGCTAGAAACATACCAGGGGATTCCAATTCAATCCCATCAAGGTGGCATGTACCAATGCCATCTCACTAGTCCAAGTGATCAATTTCTGCTCAAAATTGATCATAATGATAGGATTTAGAGCCAAAGGGAGCACATGAACAAGACTAGTTTCTGCAAATACTAGCTGATAGAATAAAAAAGAGAGAGAACGATCTAACATGGGAATTGAGATACACAGCAGACTCATAGAATGGTGGATGTCCTAAACAGCACTCTGGCCTCAGAATCAGCCGTTAAGGCATGCAAATCCAGCTAAAAACCCATGAGAGTATTTCAGGCATGGAAAGACAAGACACTCTGGAAAAAAAAAAATGACCTAAATGAAAGATCTCTGTGAGTGAGATCCCAGTGGAAAGAACAGGTAATCAGAGAAGGAGGTACCTTTCTCTGAAGGGAGGAGAGAACTTCCACTCTGACTACAACCTTGCCTAAATATGATCAGAGTCAGTGAACTCAAAAGGCTTCCATAGCCTTTACAACTCATGACAAGAGCGTAGGTTGATTACTGATGCCATAAACAAGAGTGTCAATTTGTTAAGTCAACAACAGGAGTCACTGTGCACTTACTCCCCATGTAGAATCTCTGTCCTTAATGTGCTGTACATTGTGATTAAATGCTATAACTTGTATTCAAACAGAATTTTTCACTTTGTGTTTCTATGTTTGTGCAAACTGTTGAAATCTTTACTTAATATATGCTAAACTGATCTTCTGTATATAAGGAGAATTGAAAATGAATCTTGATGTGAATGGAAGGGGGGAGGGAGAGGGAAAGGGGAGGGTTGCGGTTGGGATGGAAGATATGGGGGGGAAGCCACTGTAATCCATAAGCTGTACTTTGGAAATTTATATTCATTAAATAAAAGTTAAAAAAAAAGAAGTGTGCTTTCTTCATCCTTACCAACATAAATGCTGTTGTGCATCCAATAGGCCCTAAAAACAGCCCTTATGTCCCTCCTCTCAACCTCTCAGGACATGATCCAGGCCCGGAGTGAGTCACAGAAAAGCCTCCTTCCTGGCTTTCCCTTGCCTTTCCACAAGAATCAGGCTGTAGTCATGAAAACATGGGCTGGACTGACCCACCCCATCAGTGCATGCACAGCAGGCCATGTATTGCCTCAGTGGAACACAACCTGGATCCAGTCCCCAGAAATGGGTCAGGAAATCACCATGCTGAACACTGGAATTTCTGTTCCACATTAGGTTCTCCTGGGCCACGTTCTTAATGTTCCACCCTGGCTCAAGCCTCAGAGGAGTTGACTGAACCTCTGCAAAAACAGAAACCACCTGAACCAGCACAAAGGAAAGCCAGGGTGGAGACCCAGTTAGCTAAATACAGCTTCCCAAAGATGTGGGGATCCCATTAAACACATCTGGGGTCCCCAATGAGAAACTGTCATGTGGCCAGGCCAGGCTGGGATTTATCCACCTTGGTGCTACAGCCTCCAGCCCACATCCATGTGCTTCAAGCTAAACAATGGCATCCCCACCCCTCACATACCCATCAATCTCACAGCACTGCTTGTGCCCACTGAAGACTATCCATCCCTCCCTAATGGGAAGGCTGCACTATTGTCTGGACTTCTGTAGGATGAGAGTTGGCTACAGAAGGCAGCTGTTTCAGAACAAAGCTATATTTCATAAGCAACACACATCCTTTCATGAAAGTGATTCATTTTTATTGAAATTTTAAGTCCTTTCTTGCCCTTTATTTATTACTGTGTCTGGGGGTCAAGAAATAGTGATTCCCCAGGAGCTGGAGGAGCAGTCACCCTGATCTCTGTCTTCCTCTGAGCTCCTCTGAAAAAGGAAGATGGAGCTGGGGATAGAGACTTTGGGGAGGAAATGACTAACTGAGCACATTGGTGAGCACCTGCACTAATCACACTTGGCACCAAGACTCACAATAGAGGGAACAGCTACAGTGAACACTCGAGGAAAACTGGACTCTGGAGATAAGGATGTAGGGCCAGCAGCACAAGGCAGGTCTCTCAGGACATTCTGCAAGGGCCCATGAGGGAGCTGGGCTCTTTGGGTACCCAGTGCACTGCCAGCATGCACAGTGGTTATTGATGCCCAGTCCTAGGGCCTTGGTGCTGCCCAGAGGGCAGCTGGGCAGAGGGGGCTCTGGGTGAAGGTCACTGCATGTGCTTCTGCAATGAATTGGGAGAGAAGGGAGAGGAAGAAAGGGAGGAGGGACGACCAAGGGTGCAAGGCGGCGATGGCTGGGGTTGGTTGAACCATAGATTCTGCTCCTGTTACTACCATCTCTACCACCCTCCCTGCCTATCTCACAGCCTGATCCCATTTTGTCTCCCTGTGCTTGTGATCCCTGCTCATCATCTGGGTTCCATGCCTCCTCCACCCTCTACCTCTGCCTTGGGCCACAGGTCACCCCTAGGACCAACATGTGGCACCTGTCAGCCTCTCTGTCATTATCCTTTTGCCTCTCATAGACATTAAGTCTCATGTGCTGTTTACCGACTCTGCTCTTAACTATGTTCTATACTGGGAGCCATCCCTTTGGACAGTCTCATTCCCATGACCCCATGCACACCTCATTGAATCGCACACACCATTTCCTGTGCAGTCACCTTGCACACCTGGCACCTTGGAGCATCAATCCCACACTTTGCTCTGTGAATTCAACACTCTCATTCTTTTGACCCCCTTTCCTATCTCTCCCTCTGCATTATGTCTTGTCACACCCCCACAATCTCTTCCTGTGCACTGCTGGCCCCTCCCTGGGCCCTCATGTCACCCTGCTCTGTTACAAACACACTCTCTGTCATGCCCCTGAATTTCCACAGGCAATAGGGTTGAGCTGGCAGCAAAAGTCCGATGCTTTCCAAGAGAAATTCCATCTTCTTATTTTGCTTGTTTCCCATTGAATATCCTTCTCAGAGGATGTGCTGTTACAATTGTCTGCTAACTTAAATGTTTCATCAGCTCAGTGGCCTGAAGATTTTGGAGAAAAGCACACTTTGGAATAGGAAAACTTCTCAGGCATCACAAAACTCAGGAGGACACATGAGTATGAGGCAGCCCCTCTTGTCGCAGACCCCAGCAGGAGCTACTGCCTCCCTGTGTGACTGGTCTGTCTCCAGGCATCAGGGAAATGAAGGAGACTCTCAGACACTGCCACAGTCCCTTGGCAGATGGCAACTACAAACCTCTAATTGGTTTTTGGTCACAAGGAACTGGGGACCATTTTTCACAAATATCCTCACTGCCCCAGGCCTGTCCTCTGCTTGTAGGGACAGGTGATAGGATAATGGCTGCTCTGAGGGGAGGTGACACCACACATCATGTCACACCATTTCCCAAGGTCTCCATCCCACCAACACAAACACTGGTGCTGTGAACAGCACCCTGAGCCCTCACTCTCCTTATCAGAGGACACAGGTGTTTGCCATCACAGCCTGAGACAGAGAGTCTGAAGCCAACTTTTGCTAATCTGCAGCCAGGTAAGAGCTCCTATTAGAAGGGGTTTGCATTTGGAACCCAGCCTGCTGGCATGGCCCCCCAGGAAGTAGAGCTGTTTCTGTAGCCTGAGCAGAGCTTATAGAGAGATGAGGGCCTAACCTGACAGCAGCCTCCAAAGGCAGTTGTGCCATTTACTATAAACCAAAGGACCCTTGTGTTGCCCATTTTCATGTTTAAATCTTAATTTTTACATGTTTCACACTGAAAACTTAAATAAATTTTGTTCTATGGTTAAAATAAGGTCATAAGGAAACAGCCTTGCTCATGTAAAAGCACATTTCTGTCATTGGTTCATAAACTTTTTTTCAAGTTAATGTTTTCTTTATTGTTTTTGAGATAACAGTTTTAACTTACATTATGGTTCCAGGCATAATGCTGTACCACACAAAGTTCAGCAAATGAAAAATGCAAACACCATAGTCCAGCAGGAGAGTAGGGAGGGGCCGTGCCCAGTCATCCAGTGAGAAGATGGCCCTAACTTTTCATGAAACCCATTGCTGCTAAGATACAGGAGATGTTTAGACTTTCTATTTAACAATGCCTTTTACCATCAATGAAATGGAGTAACATATCCTTTTGAGGAAATTTATATTTTTAAATAAAATTGGTTGTAACAATAACATTAGGTTTTGACTACAAAAACAGGCTATTCAAATTATCCTGATGGGTGGGGTTAAATTAAATTAATATAAGAAGTTTATTTTTAATAGGTTTAAGGATTTCAGTTCCACATTAAATTGTTGTTCAGTCTACCCTATCATATTTACACTGTGTTTTCAGGATACCTGAATATGCACTATCTTTTCTTTAAAGATTTATTTATTTATTTGAGTGAGTGGCACCAAGAGAGAGTGAGAGATAGTGAAAGAGAACTTCCAGCCATTGGTTCACTCTCCAAATGCCCACAACTGGACCAGGCCAATGCTAGGAGCCTGGAACTTCTACCAGGTCTCCCATGTGGGTGGCAGAAGCCCAAGCATTTGGGCCATTTTCCTCTGCTTTCCCAGGCACAGTAGCAAGGAGCTGAACCAGAGGTGGAGCAGCCAGGACTTGAACTGGTGCTCAGACAGGAACGTGGCATCATAGGATGTGGTTAACCTGCTGCACCTTGAAACCAGCCCCTTGAAAGTGCACTCAGAGCACCAAGCTGGCAGCAGAGCTGTGAACCCCCAGGAACCACCTGGTGCTGTGCAGACCTGGAGTGTCCTGATGACACCTGCTGGGAGGAGATGCACCCTGTGATGCCGGGTGCTAGAATTATTTGAAGAGATAGTGGTTTTTTCCTTATGAGAACATCCATGGTCTCCTGATACTGGAGAGAGTGTTTCCCATTTTCAGCTTAGGCAGTGGGCACATGAGGAAGCGGTAACGCTACACACGGGATTCCAGATAGCAGCTCTCAGGCACAAAAGTTTCCTGTTCTAAAGTCTCTGATCTTAATATATTTCACTCAATTCCCAAATTTACAATTTCAACTTATAAAATATGCAAATCTTAACATCTTACATATTCTCTTTACTGGATAGCTTATAATTTAGTATGATTTGGAAATCTCCCCTGAGTTCTACTGATTTTATGTGTGACAAGTATTGATCCATGTAAGTACATGATCTGAAAAAGGTAACTTTTAGTTTGTACTCTACACTCTTTTATCATATACTGGCATTTCATGTCGCATAGTTTAGGGTGCAGCAAAGTGTTCTGTGATTCCTGTGACAGGTGAAAATTCTATCTGGACATAAAAAAAAAATCCTTGTCACTGGCACTGTGGCTTGGTGGGTTAAGCTGTCCTCTGCTGCACCAAAATCCCATATGGGTCCTGGCTGGATTCATGTTTGCTCCACTTCCAATCCAGCTCCCAGATAATGTACCTGGAAAAGCAGCAGAGGATGACCCAAATGCTTGGGCCCCTGCAGCCAAGTGGGAGACCCAGAAAAAACTCCTGGCTCCTGGCTTTGCCCTGGACCAGCTTCAGCCATTAAACCATCCAGAGGGTAAACCAGTGGATGGAATCTTCCTCTCTCTCTTTCTCCCTCTCTCTCTCATTCTGACTTTCAAATAATAAAGTAAATAGATCTTGAAAAAAGAAGAAATCCTTGTCAAAGCCCATCTCAATAAACAGGCAATTATGCATTCTTAAAAAGAATTTTAAATGCAATGGGTCCCTACAGAATTATTTCATAATTCTTAATCTGAATGTTAAGATATCTAAATCTTATTCATAGCTGGTATTAACTTACAGCTTCAGTCCTTATACTGAATGTAGACTTACAGACAAAGTAATAAAATCAGCTATCTAAGATAAAATCACCAGGCATGAGAATGACTAAATAGACACTGCATTATGTGAGGAACACAGCAAACAGGTCTGTAACATCACCTTCAACTGCACTGCTTTGATCAGCCTGCTAATTCCAAGCCCCTTCTTGAGCCACACATGTTGTTCAGATTAGACACATCATTAACTCTCCCTACTTAGCTTCTCTGTATCTTTTAGAGGAAAACAAGAATACTGAGTGGTCACTGCCTCATATTCTCTTGCAGGATTCTCTCTCACTCAGAAGATGAGCAGCAGAGGCTGGGAACTGACAGCATGGCCTCGAGGGACCTGGCCCTAGGAATGGTCTTTCTAGTACAGACGCTGGCTGGGATTCTGGGGAATTCCTCTCTTCTTCTCCATTATCTCATCCTTTATTTCACAGGATGCAAGTTTAGGCTCACAGATCTGATTCTCAAACACCTGACTGTAGCCAATGCCTTGGTCATTCTCTCAAAAGGAGTCCCCCAAACCATGGCAGCTTTGGGGATGAAGCATTTCCTCGATGATACTGGGTGCAAACTTGTGTTCTATGTGCACAGAGTGAGCAGGGATGTATCCATTGGCAGCACCTGCCTCCTGAGTGTCTTCCAGGCCATCACCATCAGTCCTACCTGCTCCAGGTGGATGGGGCTTAAAGTAAAAGCTCCCAAGTATGTTGGACCCTCCACTATTCTCTGCTGGAGCTTGAACTTGATGCTAAATGTCATGGTACTTGTGCATGTCACTGCCAGATGGCAAAACAATATCACAAGGAAAATGGATTATGACTACTGTTCTGCTATTTCTCATGGGAAAATCACTGAGTTATTGTACATAGCACTGATGTTATTCTGTGATGTTGTGTTTGTAGGGCTCATGCTCTGGGCCAGCAGCTTCATGGTTTTCATCCTGTACAGGCACAAGCAGCAGGTGCAATACATACACGCTCTCTCCCACACATCTTCCCCAGGGTCCAGGGCCACACAAAGCATCCTTGTCCTGGTGAGCACCTTTGTACTGCTGTGCAGCCTGTCTTCCATTCTACAATTTTGTTTAGCGTTTTTCAGTATTCACAAAATGTGGCTGGTGAAAGCTTCTGCACTGATAGCCGGGTGTTTCCCAACCGTCAGCCCCTACATTCTCATGAGTTATGACTCCAGGTTACCCACACACTGCCTTCCCTGGATCATAGCAGCAAAGTCCTCTGTGCTCTGAGAAGTAAACTCTATGGGTATTGGCAGAGGCTGACTGCATACTTTTTATTACTCCTCAGACACCAAATTCATTTCAAGAAGCAGTCATCTTACAAGAACCTGGCCTATGATACAGTTGAGCTCTGCTTGAAAATAACAGTAAATTGAATAATTTTATTTCTTATAGAATTCACATTTTATTCATTTATAAAATTTAAGGTATACAAGCTTCATGCATTTCATCATTACAGATATGGGAATATAGTTATTGTTTCCACCCTACCCTCCCTCCTACCCACACTCTCACCCTTCTTCCTCCTCCCTCTTCTATTGAATAGTGTTTTTAAAGAAAAATGTGAGATTTTTTTTGACAGGTAGAGTGGATAGTGAGAGAGACAGAGAGGAAGGTCTTCCTTTTGCCATTGGTTCACCCTCCAATGGCCACCATGGCTGGCGTGCTGCGGCCGGCGCACTGCACTGATCCGAAGGCAGGAGCCAGGTGCTTCTCCTGGTCTCCCATGGGTTGCATGGCCCAAGCACTTGGGCCATCCTCCACTGCCTTCCTGGGTCACAGCAGAGAGGTGGCCTGGAAGAGGGGCAACTGGGAAAGAATCCGGCGCCCCGACCAGGACTCGAACCTGGTGTGCCGGCACCACTAGGTGGAGGATTTGCCTATTGAGCCGCAGCACCGGCCAGAGATATTGTTACAGTAATACTTATATAACTAAAATTTTATTAATGGTTACAGTGGAGGAGCTAAGAGGTTATGTAGGGCTAAAATAATAGATCCATTGGTGACATGGAGTAGTTCCTGGGAGTGTAACTTTCATCTGGCACAGTAAAATGTCCAGGCATGAAGTGGCCATGGAAGGGCAGGGATGTTTCCATCAAATACGGACACAATTCGAGACATCATTCAAGATACTGAAGAAATAAGAACTCTCCCATGGAATCATGAAGAGCATGGAGTTTAACTGCAGGGTAGTTCAGTTTCAGAGTATTAGTGTGTTGATATTCCTGGAGAAATAGTAGTCATTTGCATGTAGATGAATTCAGACTGAACTGGAATTGCTCATTTAAGTGGACGTTTTCGCTGAGTTTCCAGAGTTCAAGGGAATGTTGCCTGTTGAAAACAGAGATGCTGCAGAGTGTAAATGGCATGGGCTGGGGATCTGTACATCCATTGTTTCTGTGATGTGAAGATGCCAGTTGGGCAGAGTGGCAGGAAGCAGGTCCCACGGTGCGCTCTCCTGTCTCTCAAGTCAGGAAATAAACCTGTGGTGGAGTAAGTGAGGGAGGAGCTTCTGGAAGGTGTAAGACATGAATTCATTTGGTTCCTGTAGCATTTTTGGCCTGAGCATTTTCAAAATAATGGGAATAGTTCTTACTCATTGGGAGAGTTATTTTACTAATGGTCTCTCTGTGTTTATAAAATAAAGCTTATGTAAGATATTAAAGATGCAAATATTTGAAAAGAAAAATTAATCTGGCCTAATGTGTGTCTGTAATCTTCTGCCACGAAAATAGAAACCATATGGTGTCAGCTCACATGAAAATCTTAGAAATACATGACACATATTAGATATAAAAGCAATATATTTGTATGTGTACCTATTTGCATGTACATATGTCTTTGTATTTATGTGTATACATGTATATATAATCAGTCACATTATGTTTGTTTTGCATCAATCAATGCTGTTAGAAAATTATAAATGAAAAATGAAAAAAGAAATAAAAAAATACTCATTAAAGTAAAAACACATTGCTTTATCCTTGTACGTATATTATTGTGAGAAGTACTTAATTGGTTTAATTTACATGCGATATATTTTCCCTTTTTATTATTTGTATTTAACCTATATTCCTTGAAAAAAATATCTACTTGATAAACTATTAGGATTAATTATTCCTTCATGGTTGATAGAAAAGTGTATACATTTGAGATTAGATTCATTCATTTCTTATATACTCATGGGTTGCGCATTTTCAATTTCCTAACTCTACCTTAATTTATCCCAAGTTAATTTAAATGTTCTTAATATTTTATGCCTTTTAATTATAGATTGTATAAATGATGGCAAATTACATGGTGTATATAAGTATATATATTTTTATTTTTTCTATTTTAATCATTGTTAAAAACATATTTATTTATTTATTTATTTAAAAGTCAGAGTTACATAGTGACCAGAAGGAGAGACAGAGTGAGAGGGCTTCAGCTGGTTCACCCTGTAGATGGCCATGATGGCTGGTACTGGGCCAGGTTTTTTAGCTATATATTTTGAAAATATTTACCATTGAACATAATAAAATGTCTGACACTCACAGGAATCATCTATTTATAATTAATATCATAATGTCTATATTGATTATTAGATTTAGCAATTTATTGTGTTCTTTGCATTTTGCTTGTTATAAATTATTGATTTTTCTATCTCAACTTCATCTGTATTAATCTTTAAAGATTCAGTTATTTATTTGAAAGTCAGAGTTACACAGAGAGAGGAGAGGCAGAGAGAGAGAGAGAGAGAGAGAGAGAGAGAGAGAGAGAGGTCCTCCATCCACTGGCCACTCCACAGATGGCTGCCATGGCCAGAGCTGCAGCACCCTGAAGCCAGAAGCCAGGAGCTTCTTCCACATCTTCCACGTGGGTGCAAAGGCCCAAGAATTTGGGCCATCCTCCACTGCCTTCTCAGGCCACAATAGAGAGCTGGATTGGAAGTGGAGCATCCAGGACTCGAAACAGCACCCATATGGGATGCTGGCACTGCAGGTGGTGGTTTTACCCAACATGCCACAGCACTGGCCCCCTCCAACTCTATTTTCATCTCTATCTCCATCATCTCTATCTCTATCTCTATCTCTGTCATTTCTATCTCTATCTCAGTATATCCCTATATCCCTTGTCTCTCCTTCAGTCTCTGTCACTCTCCCTTTCAAATGAATAAATCTTTTTTTTTTAAATAATAATTAGGAGGCATGAGCTGAGCCACTAGAGAAAGGTTGTAACCCTGTAGAGTCACTAATGGCCATTATGTATTGCAGGGTGAACCAAATGACACTGATTGTAGGTGTTTCATTCAAGTGATAATGAAACCTGATGTATAATGTGCTTAGGACATTAGTACCAAAGTTGCTCTGTCCTCAGTCTCCTGTGAGAATCACAGAACATTTTGAGGATGATGGAGGCACACTGTGACATCACAATGCTAGCCAGGGACAGGTGAATCCACAGAATGACCTGATATGATGCTGTGCAGAGCTTGTGTGTCCAGCAGGCACCTATTGTGTAGAAATGTATCCTGCAATACTGGATTCTAGAACTGCTTAATTATTAGGAAAACTCTCATGGTCTCCTGATATCACAGAGACTGTTTTCCATGTTCAAGGTGGGGACTTAGCATGTAAGGAAGTGGTAACATTACACACTGAGCTTCAGACAGCAGCTGTCAGCCACAAGAAGTTCTTGTGATATATTCTCTGGCACAAACATTTTTTCTGTCAATCCCAAACTCTTTAAATCACTTTTAAAACACAAAGTTGAACACCTTATATACTATCTTTACCTTATGCCTTATATTTTACTGATTCACAAATCTTGCCTTAACCACAATACTTCTACTTGAGTCAAGTATTAATCAAATGTAAGTACATGATTTGAAAGACATAACATTGAGATTCTGTCCCACCATGTTTTGTCACATACTGCTTAGAGTTCTGTATTTTAGGGCACAATATAATGTTCAGTGATTCCCATGATAGGTGCAATTTCAGTGTGGGTGCAAAAGCAGATTCTGGTCTGTTGCTGTTTCATGCAGAGGCAAATATATGTTCTTTAAAATTCCTTTGGGGCCTGGCACTGTGGTGCAGTAGGTTAATCTTCTGCCTGTGGTAACAACATCCCATATGAGTGCCAGTTGAAATTCTGGCTGCTCTCCTTCTGATCCAGCTCTCTGCTATGGCCTGGAAAGCAGGAGAAAATGGCCCAAGTCTTTGGGTCCTGCACCTGCAAGGGAGACTCAGAAGCTCCTGGCTTCAGATCAGACCTGCTCTGGCTGTTGCGGCCATTTGGGGAGTGAACCAGTGAATGGAAGACCTTTCTCTGTTTCTCCCTCACTGGTTATAACTACCTCTCAATTAAATAAATGAAATGTTTAAAAAATAAATAGAAAAAAACAAAATTGATAGTTTCCATGCAGTTTTTTTGAAATTCTCAGTTTAAATTGTGTTAAGATAACTATTCATAATCCATACATATCAAATCTTACACACATATGGAAACTCAATCCAAACAAATTTAGAAACTAAAATATCAATATAAAATGAAAACATAAGGCATGAACATAACAAAATAAATGCCAGCATCATTTTAAGAATATTCTGTAACATAATCTGACCAGCCCTGACAGATTCAATTTCCACTTTTTTCAGGAAAGTGTGAAATAGAAAAATCAACTCAATACCTTAGTCTACCCAAGTGACTCCTTCCTTTACAGTGAAAATAGTCTACTTATCTCACAGAGGTTTTTTTTAAGATTTTATTTATTTATTTGAGAGGCAGAGTTACAGAGGAAGAAATGGATAGAGGGGTCTTCCATCTGCTGGTTCACTCCAAATGACCGCATGGTGGAGCCAGGCCAATCCGAAGCCAGGAACCAGGAGCATCTTCCAGGCCTCCCATGTGCATGTAGGGAATCAAACACTTGGGTCAACTTCCACCACTTTCCAGGCCATATTAGAGATCTGGATTGGAAGTGGAATAGCCAGGACACGAACCCACACCCAAATGGGAATCTGGCGCCACAGGTGGAGCTTAGCCCACTGCACAACAGCGTCAGCTCCTGTCACAGAGTTTTAAATGACTTAAGGCATGGGCATGTTCTGCTTTCATGTCAGTAATTCCTGTTCTGTGAATGCTCATTAAAGGGACACAGTCAACTTTGGGATGCCTGGGAACTAGAGAAGCATTGCAGTAAATGTATCTAAGTGGAGACTAAGGGGAAGATGCTGTGTTTCAGTTCACGTGGCCCATGCAGCTCAGGCCTCTTCCTCCCCTGCAGGGCTCCCAGGCTCAGAAAACAAGCATCAGGCATCAGTAGCTGGTGAGACGGTCACCAGGGATGTGCCCATGGGCATAATCTACTTCTCAGAAACACTCATAAGAATTCTGGGGAATTTCTCTCTTTACCGTTATCCCTATCTCTATGTCACAGGGTGCAAGTTTAGGTCCACAGACTCGATTCTCAAAAAATTTACAAAAGATCA